CCTATATGTTCCTCCAGACTATCCTCTACGTGTATACCAAATTTCATCGAAATCCGTTCAGCCGTTTTGACTACAAACTCTAACAAACATCTATCCATCTAAACTTTCGAATTTATATTATTTGTTATGAAGTACTAGCTTTCGCCCGCGACTCCGTCCGAGTGGAATTAAAAAAAAACAAAACTAAGTAGCCTACGTGTTCTTCCAGACTATTCTCTATGTCTATACCAAATTTCATAGGGATCTGTTCAGCAGTTTAGGCTACAAACTCTAACAAACATCCATCCATCCATCTAAACTTTTGCATTTTTTTTTAAGTTTTTTAAGCTAGCGCTTGACCACGATCCCACCGACTGAGAGTGAAGATTTGGTCGAAAGAATAAGAATATAATATTAGTATGAAGTATTATGAAATTCGAAAACAATATTGTCACAAGTGCTTAAACCTATGAGCCACCGACGCTCTCACTATCACACTATTTCATAAAATAATATCTAGTTTAATTTGTGACACAATTATATACGTTTGAAGCAAGTTATGTATTACGTTGTATTCTGCATCTGTTACAATATTTGCTTCGCTGCGCTTCTGTAACTGAAGACAAACATTTGTGACAACTTTGTGCACTCTGTGCAAACAATTACGACGTGAACTTATGTACACTGCGATGTTATGTTCAAAATATCATAGTTTACTTGCTTTTGTATTTTTAGTATGTATTGGAATAACTCAAAAACTACTGGGCCGATTTTAAAAAATCTTTATACTGTTAGGAAGGTAATTTATCTGTGAGCAACATAGGCTTTATTTTTTAATTTCACGCTGACGAAGTCGCGAGCCACAGCTAGTCATTAATCTAGTGAAAACATTTTCTAATTAAAATCCATAATATCATGTCAATAATTTATTGCTATAGAAAAGTAATGCTTATCTTTTTCAATAGATGGCGTTAAACGTTTTATTTAAAAGTATTCATTTCACATTAACACAAAGAAATTAATATTTTACATTCCATGTCCTGTTATAACAACAATGTAATTTATTCCAGAACATAAAACTCAATGTACGTGTTACATGTGAAACAAGCGTAAAGCCTAGCTCTCTAAAGCCTTCCCAAAGGCTTTGTCAGTTTCAGCCGCACAGTTTCATTGTTAACAAATCTCTCTCTAGGGTTTACATTGTTTCATACGTGTACAAATAAACAGATTTATTGTGTTTACATGAAGACTAACTGTCACCCGCGAATTCGTCCACACGAATTAAAAAAAAAACTTAATTAGTAGTATATGTTTTCTTGAGCAATTCTGGAGATACATAGTAAAAAATCCATACATTGAAACTTTCACACTTATTATTATGCTAGCTTTTGCCCGCGGCTCAGTCTGCGTGGAATTAAAAAAAAAAAACAAAAGTAAGTAGCCTATATGTTCTTCCATCAAGAGGATAGCTCTTTGTTCAGCAGTTTAGGCTACAAACTCTAAGAAACATCCATCGAAACTTTCGCATATATAATACTAGCTGTTGCCTGTGACTTCATACGCGTGGTATTAGAAAACATACGAACTATGTAAATAACAAAAAGCTACGTATCCCTCGGGAACCGGACATTTCTCGGGGATGAATCTTATCCCATGTGTACTTCAGACTTTGTTTTATATCTGTGCCAAATTTCAATAAGATATGTTGAACCGTTGCTGAATGATCGAGTAAACATTAAAAAATTAAAATAATGAATCCCACGGGTACCGTAACTATTCCCGGGATAAAAAGTAGCCTATGTGTTCTTCCAGACTATGCTCTAAACCTGTGCCGAATTATATTGAGATCCGTTCAGCCGTTCTATCTAAACTTTTGCATTTATAATGTTTGAAGTTAAGTAAGATAGTAAGAAAAATATTTATAGTTCCGCTTGGAAGATATCCCGAGCGCCATCTATTAATAGAATGAAGTAAACAGAACGTTTTTAATCAACTTTTCAAAGTAAAATTCCGTAAGTAGAAAATATCTTTTCACCGCAAAGTAGCGTCGGGTATACTTTAAACTTTCCGACTTGACACTATCTCCTTTAAGTTATAATAACTTTGTAAGTAGTTTTAAAAGATTTTCCAACTTAAAATACGTAGATACGATTTTGTACACCTTTGACTAACTGTATAGTCGCACTTTGTTTCCTATTAGTTTATGAAAGTAGTGTGCGTATTCTCGATTTTTAGTTGTGCAACTAAACAGTTGCAGACTGCAAAATAATCGGCAAACTCACACCAGTTGTGTGTTTGGTCAAAGGTGTGCGCTCGCTTTAACTAGAATTTCAGTTCTCAGACTTTTTAACTGACGCCGTGATACGTCACGAAAGTTATTTAGTTATATAACTCTGACACACTACCGCCATCTTTTGAATAATTACAGAAACTTGTAATTAAAACTACTCGGAGATTTATATTTTCAGTGAGGAATTTTATACTTGTTCTAAAGAAACTGTGAAACTTTGATAGTAATTTACTCGAATATTCGTCTACAGTTCGTCTACCTAAATAAAGTTTATTTTATTTGCAACGTCTTAGTTTAAAACTTAATTTTTCACGCAGTAACTAAGTGTCCTTGTCGCTACAAATAGTAACTACATTTTAAAAAACATGCTTAAAGTGTTCTTAGGTGTCTCTTTGGTTAAGGGTCTCCTTAAATCTAAAACAAAATTATAAACTTATTTCATCCATACTAAGGGCAATATAAATAACAGTTAAGGGTCCTTTAAAAGGAATTGTTGGAAGCCTTTAGTACACTAAATATAACCGATGCATTTAAGAATAGACTAGTTTTCCCCATCGACTCCGCCCGTGTAGAATTAAAAAACAAAAGTAAGTAGCCTATGTATTGTTCCAGACTATCCTCTACATCTATGCCAACTTTCATCGTGATTCGTTCAGCAGTTTAGGCGGAAAACTCTAACAAACATCTAAACTTTCGCATTTATAATATTAGTCAAAAGTAAGATGTATAATGCAGTAAGATATGTGAGTCAACGTGTGTAAAAGCGCGCACATTTGACTAAACTATCGCACAACTGTTTAGTCGCGCTTTGATTCCTATGAGCTTATATGGAGGTACGCACTACT